TTGAAGTTTCTGATCTTGGAGCCATGTGGAAATCCGATGGTGCGTTGGATCTCACCACCGTAACTCCATCGTCGCTTCCGGTGTCACTATCTTCGTGTGTCATTAAGGGCATAACGGTGAGAAATATATATTATGCAAAAAACGTGGTAGAGAACAGTATTTTGTGCTATGGTTTGCATTATAATTTTTTTTTTGCGTCATTTGGCCCAATTTCCCTATACCAAAAGAATCATGCAACTACAAAAGAACCAAACAGAAGAAATTAAGATTTACGGAGTGTTTTCAAGGCATCAGCCATCAGTAATGAAGATCTGGTACGAGCACAAGTGGTACTTTCTTGGCGATGACGAAAGCTCCAGCTTCTTCCATGTTAATGTCTTCAATGGTCATTCCATCGGGTAAACTCCAATCGAAGAAGTAAAGAACGTTAAGGAGACCGAGTTCCACAATGGTGATCCCCGTAGCCATCCCGGGACAGATCCTACGACCTGCACCGAATGGCAACAATTCGAAATGCTGACTCGATAGGGCTATCAACAAACCTCTCGGGGATAAACTCGTTAGGGTTTGTCCAACAGTTGGGATCACGTCCTATTGCATATGTGTTGATCTCAATCATTGTGTTTTTAGAAATGTTGTACCCTTGGATCTTGACATCAGACATTCTCTCCCTTGGGAGCAAGAGAGGGGCCGGTGGGTGTAATCTGAATGTTTCTTGGATCACAAGCTTCAAGTAGTGAACTTTCTCTAGATCTTGTTATGTGATACCGTGATACTTTCTTTGTTGTGTCCGAGTGTTGCTCGGATCTCGTCTCAGAGTTTTTTCATCGCCCTTGGGTGTCTGGTTAGTTCTGTCATCGTCCATATCATTGTGATCGCTCCTGCGTTCACTCCCGCCAAAAACACGTCCTAATATCAAATAATAGAAGCATTGTTAGCAACACATATATTAGTTCGTAAACTTTAGTAGAAAACTTAAGAGATTGGTATTCTTACCGACATCACTCCTCTAAGATGATCATAAGTAACCTTGAAAGAACCGACTTTGCTTTGTTTGTTGATCATATCCAACAGACACTAACAATATCTGAATGATCTTGTGATGGTCCAGTCTTCAAATGATCATCAATCACATGTTGAAAGAAATTGCTAAGTTTGGCAAAGGCTTTGTTCATCCTCAAATGCTGGCCGGAGATCCGGTCTATGATCCACCCTAGACCTGTGGGGAAGAACTCGGTGAAGGAAACAGATCCGAGGTTGGTATGTCCTCTTGTACTGGATAATTGAACACTTCTATATATGAATGGCTGTAACAAAAAGATTTTGCTTTTCCAAAGATTTATTTATAAGAAGACATCGGGGAAATAATAAATTGTGTCTATCAATATTTTTATTTTAGAATCTTAGAAACCAAAGTTTGAACTTTGCTTGAGAAAAATTGATTTAAATTTTGACATGAAAATGTAATTTGGTCCACAAATCTTCAATTGATAAAAAAATAAATGATTACCAAATAAAATAAAGGCAAAATTATCTCCACTACCACTTTTTCAAAATCTATTTTTCCAATCTACCGCAATCTTAAAAAATATTTTTATTTTGACCAATACCACAACATCAATTTAAAAAATCAAT